ACTCTTTCCTGCCTATGCAGGGGGTCGGACTCGATAATCTATTGAGGTCCCTTCCAACCCTAACATCTATGAATCTATGAAGCTTAAACTTGCATGATTTCATATTTGTCCTTTCAATTCAGAAATAATTTAATAAAAATAGAAATCGGTTAAACCCAGAGTTTCTCTCATGAATTCACAATTCTTTTCCTTAGTCCAAAACTTGTTTGCAAAATTCAGTTCTCAGCTCAATTAAAATGCTGGTAGCTAATCCTGTTTCTTTATCTGATCTACTATAAATGACTGATTACCTATTTAACAGGAAAGAATTTGCTAATCATTTCACATAGCTTTTGTCCTGGGTTTCCTACAAATTTTGTTCTATGAAATAGCCTATTAACATATAGCCTGGCTGGCTGGTGACACCATTATTATTGCCAATGAGCATCTAGGTTTCTTTTATTTTCTTAGGATGTTCAGGTAAAATCATGTTATATTAGCACAATCACCTTCTAGATAACAAATCCGGGACTCAGGATTCTTCTTCATCAATTGCCCCATGAAAAATTCACTTCCAAAATCTTCTGAGTGAATGAAAGCACCATATTTTGGGAATCCGACCTCAAAAGGGGAAAATTCACACCATTCTGTAACCACAAGAAAAAAAGATGCCTTTTCACCTGATTATGGAAGCAAGTAAGACCAGTGGTCCCCAGTATATCTGGCCTCATGGGCTGGAGGAGCAGCATGGATCATGAAGCTGTGTCATCTGGCCTGCAGGACTGGAATTTGTCAGTGGAAACCTCAATTTCAGCTCCTCCACCACCAAATTTCTGGTCTCTTGGGCCAAATTACACTGCCCCGTGCCCCAGATCCAGGCCGTGGGGCACCCCACGAGTCAGAAATTTTGGTAGCAGGATAAGCAGCAACAGCATTAATTACCATGGCTCCAGAAGCTGTAGCAATGAATGCTGCCCTCGCTCACCAGGCTGCCAAATTTCTGGACCCATGAGCCAGATGGTACAGCTCTGTGGGCTGGATTTAGCCACTAGCTTCAGAGAACATGAAAATAAATGCATATAATTTGCATTTAATTCCCTTTGGACTGCACGTAAAAAATAGTTTTTGAAATGTAGCTCACAGAGGTGTACCTGGACACTTCAGCATCCCAGGCAACAGTGGTACAGGCCAGCATCAGTGTCTGGGCTGCTGGTGATGGCATCAGCAGGTGGGGTGACAGTACAGCAGCTGTTGTTTTTGTGTTCCCATCCCCAACTAACCATGCAGGGCTGGTGCCTGTCATCCCTCCTTAGCTATGCTACTGGTAGCTAGATGTCAACAACAACATACGGGTTGAATTCCCTACTAGAAGAGTTAACACAATGCAAGATGTTCCTCTGGCACAAGGAAACTGTGGGTCTGGCAGTTATCACAGAATTACAGAAAATGAGGGTTGGAAGGGCCCTTAGGCGATCATCTATTCTAGTTCAACCCCCTGCTCAAAGCAGGACCATCTCCACCTAGATCATCCCAGCCAAGGCTTTGTCTAGCCAGGTCTTAAAAAACCCCAAGGATGGATTCCACAACTTCTCTGGGTAGCCTGTTCCAGAGCTTTACTACCCTCCTAGTGAGAAAGTTTTTCCTAATATCTAACCTCAGCTTCCCCTACTGCAACTTGAGACCATTGCACCTTGTTCTGTCATCTGCCACCACTGAGAACAGTCTAGCACCATCCTCTTTTGAACCCCCCTTCAGGTAGTTAAAGGCTTCTGTTAAATCCCCCCTTGGTCTTCCTTTCTCCAGACTAAACTAGCCTGGGTCCCTCAGCCTTTCCTCATAAGTAGGGACCTACCAAATTTGCAATTGTGTGATTTTTGCAGAAATCATGAATTCAGGTGGGCTCTGCAAAAAACAGGCTCCGCAAAAAACGGCAGGTTCACTCCAAAAAAGGTGGGAAGCTCGCCAGCGGTCTTAGAGCATGGGCAGAATGGGGGAGAGAAGAGGGTGGAGGGAGAGAGGGAAGGACAGAGGAGGACAGGGAGAGAGGCGAAGGAGGCGGCAAGGGGAATGGCAGGGTGGGGTGCAGCTGCTCACAGCAGGAAGTGGGAACACTGCACAAGCAGCTGCACCAGGGCTCTGGCAGGCACCTGGGAGGCTGCACTGGCGTCTGCAGAGCCATGGCCTGGCTTGTTGCCAGCAACAGGAGCACACATGAAAGAAGCCAGCCAGGGCCCCAGACCCCAGTGCAACCTCCCAGCTGCCTGCCACAGCCATCCTGAGACCCTGGTGCAGCATCCCTGCTTGGGGATGGCCTGATAGTGTGACTTAATTGCCCTGATTATGACCAGGGAAACCATTAATCCAGGCTTAATAATGCAGGGATTAATGGCTTCCCTGGGTTTAATCAGGGGAATTAAACCACAGTTTCAGGCCATCTGGTAATCTCCAGGGAGGGGCAGGACTGCCAGGATCCCTCAGAGGCATTGGGGGGGGGATGCTCAGCCTGTGAAAATGGCAGCTGACCCTGAGATCTGCCCGCAAAATCAGCCAACCATCTCCTCAAATTCAGCAGACTCCTCCTCATAAGTCATATGCCCCAGCCTGCTAACCATTTGCCTTGCCCTCCGCTGGACTCGCGCCACTTTGTTATCTGAAAGGAGGATGGTTGGAACCAACCCAGAACTAATGAGCAGTGGGTTGCTCTGCTTAAAAGTAAAGCCTTAGAGCTGTCTGCTTTTTGACATAGGGAAACTCTGGTAAACATCTCTCCAAAATGGTTTCACTATAGTTTGTCCTCCCTTGGGCAGGAAATGGATTAAATCAGGGATGGTCAACTTGCTGTATGAGTGGCACAGGCAGCATCTGTATGGCATGCAGCACATCAGGGAGGGTAAAGGCAATACAACAAATAGGGCAGGAAGCAGAAAACAAAGCCACAAATAGGGCAGGGAGCAGAAAGCAGAGAAACAGATGAGCCAGGGAAGAGGATTGCAGTAGTACATGGAGAGGGTGCAGAGCTAATCTGTCACGCATGCCAAAAAAGGATGGCCCCACTGAATCAGATGGCCTCTTAGGCCACGTCCACACAAGCATGAAGGTTTGGTTCCCCAGAGACAACTAGCAGCAGGACACCTCATGCCGCCACTAATTGTCTCAGGAGAATACCTGTGCCACGCACCCTCTGACACGCAGCAGGTTACCTTGGTTGGGATAGGGGAAGCTGGGGCCAGCACTGGGCTGGCCCCAACAACCTTCCCTGGGGTCTTGGGGGCCCCCTGGTGCTGCAGCAGCAGCAATCCTGCTACTCAGAGCCTGGCCAGCAGCCAGCAGCCAGCATGGCTCTGGCCAGCCAGGCTCTGGTTTTGAGCTGCATGCACTACCCTCCACTTGCACCACTCAAGTCCTTTATTATTTTTGTTGCCTGATTTTGGGCCAGTTCTGACTTATCTCAGCATATTTTTTAACATGTGGGGAACTGCATATAGGATTATAAATGAGGCTTGACTAGCACCAGGCACAATAGCCTGGCACCAACACTATTTGCAGTTTATTTCTTTTCACGAGTGTATATGTTATAACACCATTAAAAGCATAAAGCATTTCTATATCTCATGAAAAAAGAGTTGCCACAAAGCAATCATTCTTGCCTCATTCAACAGGCACTCAATTCTCCTATCAATGTAAAACACAATGACATACTTAGAACAGCTACCTTTAAAGTTAGCAGTAGACATGTGGTTCTCTTTAACATTGAGAGCTAGGTAGAGAGGCAGAGGATTTTGCCCTTGACTCACAGCCTGTTGCTGATCTGAGAGTTTAAAGTCATTTACCTAAAAGAAGGAGTAAAAATTGCACAATGGTGAACTGAAAACATACACAGAACTGTAGAGAGATACAGCAATTGATACGCTTTTATGGAAATACCTCTCCCACCCCATCGTACAACAACACAGGCTTCTATCTGTGATTGTGTAAGCAGTAATAAGAGTATGATTATAGATGGTAGGAGACAGCATGGCATTTCTTGCACTTTCCAGATTTGGGATGTTAAAAGAACAATTTAAATACATCCATGTAGTTAGAAAGGAGCATAGTAGCAAAGCAGTTAAGGGGTCTGCTATGGCATTCAAGGCACAGGCCATCCAACTGGAATTCAATACTCAGGTTGTTTGGACTAGGTGTCAAAGGCAGCCAAATATGCCACTGGCTATAGAAATAGGTGGGCCTTAACCAAGAAAACCCAGTGGGATACTAGGCCCTGGCTTTGACCATAATCAGTTCTTCCAAGTAATATTACTGCCAAAGGAAAGTGTTCCTCCAGGGTACATACCTTACCATGCAAGATATATTCAAGAGCAACGGCCCACAGATCATTAAAAGATATAGAGAAGCCTTCTTTGGCCCTCTGGCTCAGCTCTCTTTGATAATGCACGACATGCTCCAAGGAAAAAGCGTTAGTTTTGCTCTTGGTCACTTGCTTCTGAGCCTCATTGATCGGCCTCTCCAGATCCTTCCGTGACCAATTGGCATCTTCATACAAGCTTGACATTGTCCTAAAGCAATACAGCATTAATGAAGGATTGATTTAGGGGAGTATAGTGGCTCCATTTCACCACTTTCTTTCACTGAGTGTTTCATCCCTGCTCCCCATCCTCAGCTAAGAACCAGCAACAAGGAGAAGATGGTCATGTCAGAAGAACAGGAAGTGAATGAGGGGGATCCTGACAGAAGGATTTCAGTTGGTACTCTCAAGGGTCTGCCAAGAGCCTCACTGGCAGCACACAAACTTGGACCACTAAGTGAAAAACCCTAGAAACTTGACTCATAGGGTTAAAGATTAACTAAAACCTCAGTTCATCTCCTAGACACATACCTGTGAATGTCCAGCAGTAATTTCAATCACAACATTGCTAACAAAACTCTTAATCTGCCCCCCTCCCACAAATCATTCCCTCCTTTTTTGATCACCCTAGAAAATATCATCCTCCTCCTTGTCACACTGGCCCCTAACCTAAATTTCCTCTTTAACTTGATTCTTGCTCTAGGTCCTCACACCCAAATGATGGGTACGCTTCTAGATTCCTTCTGCATAATACAACAGGTCTACGGTACAGCCCTTCCTGTCCTTCAACACAACTAAAACTTTCATTCAGGCTTTCATCTCGCATACTGCAAACTCTTCCTCTGGACACAACACATGCAATTTCACCTCATATTTATTCAGAATGCTGTTGATCACATCGCGCCCACTTTGCATTGTTCTATGAGAGCTCTTCTTTTTTTTCTAAGGCATCAAGTATAAGCAACTTGCTTTCATTTTTAAGACTTTCACTGGGTGCCTAACTTTCTTCCACTACATACCCTTTCTCTTACCTGCAATGAAGATGTCAGCATCTGCTTCTGTTCAGTCCATGATGTCAGCCTTCACCTCCCATTTGCTGCATATTTAACAAGTACCTGTATGCTTGCTCCCATACTTCCCCTTGTGTTTGGGAGGAACTCACAATGAGCATGTGCAAAGCTACCTCTGTCAAATCTTCTCTTAAAATATTTCCTTGCTATCACACAGCCAAAGTTGTGGAGAAGGCAATATAAACTACCTCTCTCCTGTATTTATACCCTGACACAAAACTAATACAAATAAATACTTTTTTTCTCCACCCATTCCCATGACAAACTCACCAAGTTGAACCAGAAGTGCCACTGATATATGTTATACAGTCAAGGAGATTTAACTTCTTGAGACCTGAGAGCTGGCCATACAGGGATGTCATTGCTCTGGCCCCACCTCCTGTTGCCATGATTGCCACAACTGGAACCTGTTTGTTAAATAAATGTTTCTCATACATACATGCATATGAATTCTCTAAAGAATCATCTCACCTCAGCCACACATCAGATGACAGGCCAGCATCCTATAGGTAAGAAAGTGGAATTGAATCCGAGTCTAAGAAACCAATTCAATTATTCAAGCCCCTTGCTTAGAGAGCAGCAAGGACTGGAGATCATGCAGAGGCAGGAGGCTCTCTAAGACCATACTGTGAAACCTGTAAGAGCCAGAAACCTCCTCAAGCCAGAAAAAATTATATAGTCCCAGCATGCCTTATGGGGAATTAAGTACATCTAATCTCTATCTGTCAAACACAGAAATGGAAAGGAAATCAGGATTTTATTTGTAGAATAATTCTGTATATCATGGAAAGTAATTATCTAGTTTGTTTGAATTGATCTGAATCTATTCAAACAAAGTGTGTTTTAATACATATTTATGAGCATGGAATACAGGCCATAGTTCCAGAATAAGGGTCTGAATCAAGGACAGCAGCAGTTCTGAAAAGGATTTAAGGTCATAGGGTAGGGACATGTAGTACATTTACTCAGAGTAATTTGAGTAGAGCACAGATTCCACATGTAATACAAACTGCACACAGCATACAGCCTTACACCAGTACAACTCACTACCTCTTGAAAAGGGAAGAGTAGCTCTATGCTGGTGCAAATTACATAATGTACTAGTTGTGTGTCTACTCACTATTCAATTTCATTCCGGACTAGTCATTTGCTAAGAGTGTAAACAGGCTGCCCTCTGCCTGGTAGTGCCCATAGTACTGTCTACTGCAGACAGCTAGCTGGAGAGAGTTGGTCATTTTCCACTCCCTGCTATGAAATAAATTTATTATGGAGAAAAATCTTGGGTAAATGATTCCGAATAACTGTGCCATATGTCCACAAGCACAGATGACAAGCAGCTCAGCACAAGGTCCTAGGCTAAGTACAGACAGTCAAAAAGCCTGAGTCTGAATTGATTCAATCTTCCCAGGTTAAACTAAACTGTGTAGATTGAAGTGATAAACAAGTGAGCAGACATTCACTTTTGATTCTGGAAATTCAGTCATATCCCTGCAGTGGCCCAGTCCAGAAGCCAGAAGGTCCTGGAGCAGACAGCTTGGTCCAAGCCTATTCCCACCCACCCTGCAAGGGAGGGTTTGCAGGGGAGGTGGAAAGCATCCTGGGATGCTAGGGGACTGTGAGTTAACTTGAATCTGGAGGGGATCTGGGACAGAAGTTCAATAAAAGAACAACCTAAATCAGTTAAGTCTGATACTACATCCATCCAGGTTTATCTTAAACCAGTTTCAGCCATTCTGAAATGGGTTTATGCACACTGAACTTCTGTTGTGTTACAGATTTTAAATAGTTTCTGATCGCTTATACCAGTTTGTGTGTAATTTTTTGTCCCTAGCCCTGGTGTGCAACCATGACAAAAAGAGCTAAGGTCACCCATTAGTGTATTAAGCAGGAATTATGGGTAGATTTTCTCTCTGTATACAGAACTGATAAGACTAATGCCAGTGACTGGAAACTGAAGACAGGTGAATTCAAACTGGAAATAAGATTCCATTTTTTTTATTTATTTTTTTTTACTATGAGGGTGATTACCCACACTGGAGAGAAGTTTGAAAGGAAGGGATGTTTTCTCCATCTTCTGCTGTCTTTGGCTGAAGACCAGATGTTGTTCTAGAAAATATGCCTTAACGAAACATAATTTACATTTTAGTCAAATTCAAGTTATTGGTGCGAGTAACTGGGTGAAATTTAAGGCTCTGTTATATACAGAAATATTAGGCTACAGTAGATGTGTTTATGGTCCCTTCCACCCTTAAATTCCATGAATCTTGCTTTTCTGTCAGCTTCAGCCTTAGGATTTTGCCAAACATACCTCATGGTCTTGCAGGTTCTCTTCTAAATGAAGAATCTCCTTCAAGGCAGCAGCAACTACCTTCTTCCTCTTCTGCAGGAAATCTCTCTCCTGTGAGCACAAGTCAAATCCCAAGCGCATGTCTAGGTTTTCCTGGCTGACAAACAGAGAGCCATCTATGAACAGACACCAACACAATATCCAGCAAGGATAGTTTTAGAGAAAATCTGCAGACAACTCAAAACTGTGAAAAATTATAAATGTTCTGAAAGAAAGAAGTGGAATTCAGAAGGAACTTGATATGTTGGAAAAGCTGGGCTAGAAACAACAAGAAGGTCAATGCTGACAAATGCAAGGTGCTACACACCTAGGGAAGAATAAGCAAAAGCAGAAAGATAAAATGGATGATAACCAGCTAGATGGCAGTACTGCAAAGAAAGATCTTGGGGTCTTGATGGATCACAGATTCAACACGAGTCAGAAATGGGGTACAGCTACAAAAAAGTGGTTCTGGGCTGCATCAACAATAATTTTGAGACTGTTGAGAATGGGAGGTGATAGTGCCACTCTCCTGAGCACTCACTATGCCTCAGCTAGCATATTGCATGCAGCTCTGGGCTTTACATTTAAAAAGGATGTGGAGAAGTTAGGAAGGGTCCAAAGATAGACAACTAAAATGATAAAAGGCTTGGGAGGCAAGCCATGCAAAGAAGGGCTGAAATAGGCATGTTCAGCTTGCAGAAAAAAATGATTAAGGGGTGAGGCATGACAGCAGTCTTCAAATATCTGAAGGGCTGCCATAAAGAAGATGGAGAATACCTTTCCTACTTTGCTGCAGATCATGAATGATACATGCCCCCGGAGGCTGGGAGGGGACCATTCTCAGCCACAGGCATATGAAGCAGAGACCCGTAACTGGCTTGGTTATAAAACAAGATTAAGGAGCTGGGACATTTGTTGAGGGGAAAAGACCATTGTTCTCAACTTTTTAAACCCAAGGCAGCCCTCAGAAAATGCCAGCTCTCAACTTTCGCTCATTTCTTGACTATGGAGAGAGTATAATAGAACTCTGCTGCTGTAAAGAACTCAGAAAGCACAGCAGGTCAGAATGTTTTTGACGCTATAGATTCCTATTTGAAATCTCTGGGTTTATCTTGTCAATCATGTGTAGGTGTTTGCATACATAGCAGTAAGAATATTGCTTGGCACACTTAAAGAATCTCATCAGAGTTTGGTGCCATCACTGAGAATCACTAGCATAAGGTGACAAAAAGAAGAATTCTGGATCTGCAGTTAGGATATGTAGTGTGTGGAGTTGTATTTGCAGTCCCCAGATGGCAATACATTATGGAGGGGTTTGGTTTCCCATGCTTCTGTTCTTTGCTGGTTGCTGGGGCTGGGTGAGAAAGGAATTTTCTCTCCTCCTGTTGCTGTGGTGTTGGAGGGGCAAGGGTGGGAGAGATTTGCCTTACTCAGAAGCACTGGATGTTATCTGCAGCCAAGGTTGGGGATTGTGACTGGGGTATGTCAGTGCTCCTGCTGGGACTTTACCCTGGAGGATCCTGGCTAGATGGGGCTTGCTTCTCTAATCATAGTCAAACCAAAAACCACACTTGTGATCAGGAAGAAATTTTACCCCATGGCCAGATCAACATGGATTGTGTAGGGTTTTGCCTTCCCCTATAATGGTCCTCTTCCATGGACTTTTCAAACATGTTTCAGCAAATTTCCTGCCCTTGGAGTGACAGGACATTGACAGTGCCACTCTATTAAGACAGGCAAACACTTACCACTTTTACATAACACTGAACCTGACACGGCTATTAGATGAATCACATACATGCCTAAACACAAAGATGTCAAACCTCTAAACTTGAAATGAAATGTACAAATGATAAGTAATATGAACATCCTGCTATACCAGTTAAAGTATTGCTGAATTCTCTCTAGGCAAGACACGCAAATGACTATAGGAAGTGATGATGATATTGCTAATACTTTCCATCTATGCATCTGTGTACCTGAAGGAGCTTTACAAAGGTTGTTATCATCAGGTTACTATCATTCTCATCTAATAGACAGGATAAACAAGAAAGAGACATTCAGATCAGAGATTTACCATCTCTGCAATGCAGGCGGGCTAATTAGTACTGCTGAGTGACACTGCCATATCCCATGCTGCTTCTGGTTCAGAAGGCAGATTGCCCAGCATAGTGCGACAAGCTTGGCAGTGTCACAATCAGGCATAATAAGTTTCCAGGAGAGCTGAACTAAGTGATCTGTGCAAGGTCACAAAGTAATTCAGAAATGGAACCAGAATCCAAGTTCTAGTCATGAGTCCGCGCTCCCTCCCACAACAGGAGCACGCCTTCTTGAAGATAGATGTAAAAGGCCAGCGAGCAATGGTCTGCTGCCTCCTTAAAGAACACCATTAAGAAACGTGTCTTACCAGTCCTGTGTCTTGAGTTGCAGCTCCAAGCTTGCTTCCTACGAATGGAGAATTTAGCTGAATTACAATTTATACTTACAGATTAACTCTGATGGACGAGTGTTCTAAATTCCAACTGTGCTCCTGACAAGTACTACAAAAATGTATGCAAATATTCACTACAATTTGCTGGTATAGTTACTACTTTTTATAAACATTTGTGTTATCAAGTTACAGTGATGCGAACACTCACAAAGAATGATTTCCAAAGTCACATGGATGATAATAAGCACACGAATTTTAAATGCACATGTGTATTACAAGTGCTTATATATCTCTAATGGGAACAGAAATATCACCATTTGATTTGTAACTAGTCACCACTGCATGACAGTTCAAAATTGTAATATTAAAGTTTTGACTATTTTGAGGGAGTTGCTAACAATCCATGTTCTTGAACTCCTAAATAAATGTCTTTAAATAAGATTTTTAAAATGGCATTCAGCTCATACAGATTATGGAAGCTAAATTCATTAAAGAGAATGCTTGGTGCTGGTTATTAGTTGAGTTCCACAAAATAGGTTATATATTTTTCCTTTTCCTGGACTTCTGGTGCTTATATCACAGAGTCAGGGGCCATCATATCTTACCGGTGTATAATTTTTGCTCTAGCACATGCTCCCTATATTGATCTGCTAGGAACTGAAAAATGTATGAAACAGCTGTAAGAAGCTCTCTCTCAATCTACCACATTATCTAAAGAAAGACATATTCAGCTATAAATACCACTGGGGGGCCCCAGTGCTCCCCCGGCTTGGTGACTGGTGCCTCCTGTGTTGGGG